ATTTTTAGACCATTTCTCTAGAGTTTTTAGGTCTTTATTTACTTCACTTACAATAGTTGCTAGGTTTGGTGATGAGTATGAAAGCGACGTATCATCAGTAAAAGGACGAGATAATGAGGAGAGTTCGCTTGAAATGTCGTTGATATAAATCAAGAAGAATAAAGGGGCCTAACACTGAACCTTGGGAAACACCGGCGTTTATATTTCTTACAGAAGAATGTGAATCATGAATAAAGAGGGATAGCTTACGCTCAAAAAGGTAGTTTGTTAGCCAATTAAGAAGACTGCCTGATATACCATGTTGATGAAGTTTGTTTATAAGCCCTCTATGCCAAACTCGTTCGAAGGCCTTTACAAAATCACAAAAAGTAAAAGCTATATGAAATTTGAAAATAAGATTATTAGAGTTCAAAATAAATTCCAACACAGCTTAATAATGATATTGGTCTATAATTCGAAACATTATGAGCGTCGCCAGACTTAAAGATCGGCATGATGTTTGCTAATTCCCATTTATCGGGAAATGTACCATTGAATAGGGAGTGATTAAATATGAGGGAAAGGGGAATGGCAATTTCATTTGTTACAAGTTTTAACAAACGATGACTGATTCCGTCAGGCCCTGCTGCCTTATCAACATCTAGTATGTTAATAATATCAACTATTTCAGAAGGTATCATATGAATTTCGGACAAAAGAGAGTCTGTTCGTTTTTCTAAAATGAGAATAGGTTTGTTTTGATCTACTTCGGAATGACTGGATATTGAGGAAAAATGGTTATTAAGAAGTTCACATTTATGGTTATTTTCATTCGTGAATTCGTAAGCATTGTCATCAAAAAGTGGTGATATATCAGTAGTTTTGCTTCCTTTCAGTACAAGCCTTAACAATTTCCAGTATGTTTTGGGGTTAGATTTATTTTTGACTATTATAGAGTCGATATTTTCGTAGAAAAGTACTTTTGCTCTTTTTATCATATCATTTGTTTTATTTCTTGATTGCTTATATTTCGTCCTATTAGAATCATTATTATTATTATAAGTTTCTTTTTTAATCGATCTCTATTACGGATTTGTCTTCTGACAATGTTATTGGTCCAGGGTTTGTCATGTTGTCTAATCTGCACATATTTAGATGGTATGCATATACATCTACAGCGTTAAATATAGTGGTTGTCAGAAAATCACACATGTCATTAACGTCATTAAACATATTATATTGGTTTTGCCATGATATATTTGTGATAAAACGTTTAAGCTTTTCGATCATGGATGTCCGTTTTGTCCTATAGCCATACCATTCATCTATATTAATTACTTCACTGAAAAAAGTGTTGATTGTGTTACTGACAATTACTGGATCTAATATTTTAAGGTGCTGCGTTTTAGGACTTATAACACGTGTCCAGTGACATTTCCCTGACAGACGCCGCTCGTCACGTTCACCTAACCTCAGGTTTCATCATTTATTTAAAAGTTGTTTTTAAATAGATTTTGTTGAACTAATTCTATATTTCACCACGGATAAATTCCCTTTCAATATTAAAAGGTTTGGACAAATGCCAATATACAATGTAATATATACTTATCATATCTTTGATGTCCATCAATGATATTCCTAAATCCTACACACGAATGTTAGGCATTCATTCATTTATTCTGTATTACTTCAAACCTTGCGGTTTAACAGAAGCTGATAGGACTAACATTTCTTCCTGTAATAAAATTAGTAATCGCTGGTCACTTTTATTTTGGCTTTGACTATTTCGCTATTGAATTTTATAGATAAATTTAAATGAACATTAATGAGCAAGTGCGAAGAAATATCTTTAAACCATTCCATGATATTTTATATACTGAAGAGATATGATTGCATAAACCTTTTATTTTAAAGAATATTTCGATTTGTTTCCACATTTGCGATCATTGGGCAGAAGGGAGTTAACTCGTATGGAATTATTTTTTTTATCAAAAGTTGACTATATTCCAATTTTATATAACGATGTCACTCTCAGTTAATATCTATTTTTATCCAGTTTGTACAAGCGCATACTCAACTTAACTAAAGTTCACAAGTCATCTGTGATTTGTCTGATTTGATAGATTTCTTCAGGAAATCTACTAATATTGATAACCGGCCTCCCCGCGCACTAACATCCGGACCAGCAAGAGTGATTAATAAAAGTTGAAATATTTGTTTTCATAATTGTTGTAAAATAAATAAAGAATAGTTGTAGGGGCCTGATAATTTATAGTTAGCAAGTTTATACGTATACCGATGTGTAGAGAGTACATCGCAATATGACACTTTTTGGGGTTTCGATCAACTCTTGGTAATCAAACTATTGGGTCCCTGTGGTTCGAAAAATATAACCTCAGTTTTTAATTTATATCACGGAGAAGATTTCAGAGATTTATCTAATTTCTCAATAACATCGTTTACAACTGTAATCTCAATTGTATCTTCTTGCTGCCTTAGACGGTAGTCCGGGCTTTTATGTTTCGTACCTTCTGAGATTGAAGACATTTTATAAGACATATATATGTTGATGTTGAAAGTTCAATTGATGGAAACGAAAGGACCACATATTAATTTTGGAAAGGAAAGTAATCACTCCGTTCCAATTGTAAACCAGGTTGGAACTAAGGAGGCTAACAATTTAATTGATTTAATTAATTAATTATTATGAGTTTTAATGTTTATAATACATATCCACTCTCTGTATATTGTATGTTGCACGTCATGTACTGATAGGACGTGCATATGGCCTAAATTTAAAGTTTGAATATAACTTTAATCTTTAATCATACGTTCTATCTTGAATACGTATACGTGAACGCATCACTGATGTTGGGTTTTTACAATATATGATAAATTATGAATTAACATTTTTCATTTTTATGGAAATCGTTCATTTACACAAATCATGAATATCTTTTTCAGGGACATGGATGTATTATTATCATTGTTCAATATGGCAATTACTGTATACTAATACCGCTAGTCTCCATAGTCATCACAGTTTCTCAATTCTAATGCAATCTAGTGATTTACCAATTTACTTGCAAAGTCCTAATGTTTAAATATATGCGTCAACATGTTTTCAATAACTAGGTAAACTGAGTTGTATAGTGTAAATATGTAGATAATTATAAAGTGTATTATAAGCCGATTAGATTACGACTGATCGTTACATCAATTTTAATCTTGAAGATACCTTTCATCAGCAATGCATATTTGTATCTGTATTTGTTATATGTGATATGATGCGTGACACTTAAATAAAATATTGATTGATAACAAAAATTGATTGATTGAGATCGGTCTTACTCTATAAGGATCATGAAAATACGATAAGAGGTGTGTATCATTTACGGTATCATAAGTCACTGATAGTCATACAAGTAACTCAAATTAATTTCACTTAACAGTGCATTTAGTAATATGTATTCCCTTGGTCATCGCTTGGGGGTACAATGGGTAGCCAATCAGTGTTCGTACTTCTGGGGATTGAGTAGATTATCCTACCTGCCAGGACAACACCTGTCGACAATGATGTTTGCCACACGCGCTAATTAACGAGTCAGGTATATAGGCCTTAGAGAAACTAATTATACCTAAGGAATTGACACTTTCTTACAAATAGGTAACCGGTATGTTGAGTTTGTTTTACAAACACGCCTGTCCCCTGAGAGATACTTCTGACCGCTGAATGAGCTACTTGTTTTAAGCCTGCGGGGGTCGAGACTTATATTCCGTTGAATTTGGATATTTTTGTCAGATATAGATACGTCTCTCTACCGTTGTCACACACACACACATAGGTATACTTGTCTGAACAAGTACAAAGTTGATTGTAGTGACATTTGACAATTGCAACAGCAGGAGAAAAAAATGTCATTTGAAAGAGAAATTCCGAGACGGGCATCATTTGGCGGAAGAACATCAATATGTTTACGAGAACCTCTGGTGTTTCGGAAAATGTCTATGAGGTCTAGACCTCCTAGATCGGTTTTATTGACACCTGGTACTCCGACAGTTATTGATGGTAGAAGTCTTTTAAGAAGATCTAATCCCCGAATGGTAAGTTTTATTCTTTAATTTTAATTAATGAAGTTCATTAACAACACCGTATGGAACTTGATTTTAACTTAAGACTCATAAAATTTTAAATAGAAGTTTCTAATATTTCGGATGCTGTTCCTTATTCAAATTCCACATACATAGTCTCTATTTGCTACATGATATACATTTATCGTGTGTATGTACTTTTGATACGTTCCTGTAGGAATCTAGAACACAGGTGCAACGTGTTTCCGTTTTTAAATAATCTTTCTTTGAAGTCAATGTAACAATAAAAATGACATTTCGTGACAATATTAACAATGTTAAATCACAGACGAGTTATTGTGTACATTCAAAAAAAGTAGTTCATGACTACTGTATACGATACTAAATAATTTCTCAGTCAGGGTGAAATTGTATTTTGATTGTGTATTACTAGCAGGGGAAAAGTGTTGAAATTTGACACACACGTGTATCAGTCCTATTTAGTAATATTACAATTATTGTTGTTCAAACTTCATATTATGATGTATCTCATAATATCTCAATTCGCGACACTGCATAATAAAGCAATACATTAACTGTACAAAAACGCGTTGCGTAAATGTTTTGTTTGAATAATAATTAACAGCATATCATTTTTTTTTAAATGAGAATCACTTCATGTCAGTTCCACAATGAACCACTTCTTTAGTACCGACCAACTTTACTGCTGCGAGTTATTGATAAATCTGTTATTGATTCCAACATGAAAATGACAATTTTCCCTTTCTTTCAATCCTTGGGAAGCAAACATTCTAGAAAAGTATCATTAAAGTGGGGATTCATTTATAATACCCGTTTAAAACACGACGGAATCATTTCCACTATATTCTGATAAGTTCATGTTATCATGCAGATATTTACTACAACCCATTTTCATTCCTTACCCATAACCCCTCAGTCAACATGGGTCCTGTGTCGTGTACTTCCTGTTAGTTGTCAACCCTGTTTACCCCTATTCCAAGCGGCTAAGCCTCATTTCCTCTTTGTGTGTCTTCCCATTATGGCAACATGACAGTGATAGCAGCATGCAGCCGCTTCCTGCGCCGGTACTTGTTCTGCCAGGAAGCGTTGATATTCTTTGTTTTATTTGTGATCGTCTACAATTCTTTGTTCCACGTCAAGCCAATATGGCGATACTTTCAAAGAGCAAAACTGAAAATGCAACTTCGATGGAACGGACCGAACAACACATACGATGAGGTATACCTGGATAATTCAACGGTTATAAGCAACTGATGACCGTTAACATTACAGCTTTCTGGAGATATTCACATGTTTTGTTATACACGTTAGGCCTAGTACAAAAAAAATAAAGTCTGGTTTCCTAATCTAATGAACTTGCAACAGTGAAAAATTTGTAAGCATTGCTATGTGCATGCACAACCTGCACACATGAATGCATTAACGTTTAAAATGTGGTAATACATCACGAAGGATCCAGAAACTAGAGCCAGGTATTTGATGGAAATTTCAAATTGGTTGTTTTAGAAAATAAGTATACAACACATTCATGGGAAATACTTGTTTACAGTTAGTTTTGACCCAGTGTCCATAAGCAGGAGGACAATTCTTTTCAAGACAATCACCTATACCAGAGACAGGAATGTACACATGTGCCTTTCTCAAACTTTTCAGTATGTACCACATATTGACATATCAATGGCTCACGCTACACAAGCAAATAAGAATTCACTGACAATCTGTCCCTCTCTGTCAAGATGAACTGATTAGTGGGCACGACAAACTGTTGTCAATTGACGGAGAAAATGGTAAAATTAGCCTCAACCCCAAAATACATAGTGCATTTGGTCCAAACTACACAATTGTATATACATGGGGTCAGGCCAACTTCTGTACTACTCCAACAATGTTAGAGGTTTTACACGGCGAAAAACTTTTGACAGCCACGTAGTCGGCAAAATTATATCCGTTAGAAAAAAGGCCGACCAGCGGCCTCTCATGTTATGGGAGTACTTCTGTACCTGAGGTGAAACAGCTTTTGTCATGTACACAAACATGGTAGCATCCCAAACTTCAAAGAAATGTTACAAAGATTTACCGTTCAGAGTTTGGATACGATCATCTGTGTAGGTTACAGTAATCATTAATCTCTAATTATTCAAGACTGATGTAAACCTACAACAAGAGACCAATTGTGACAACCCTTTAATAATGATACATGTACATCTTTGTGCAGATATCTGTCAAATGCACCAATTGAGGGTTGCTCTTTGAAAGCATTTTTGACAGATTCAGTCTTGGAATTTTATAGACCTAAGAGAATTTTTTCATTGACAAGACCTTGACTAAGAACATATTTATTATATATTTAGTACTTGATAACATACATTATTAAGAAAATAGGTGTTGTAGTAAATTAAGGGACAAAATTTGTTGGAAAAGGGGTTCTGTAAAATTTTGTCCCAACACACTCTGTACACAACTTCGATGAAGTAAATGATTCCCAGTATATGCCCCATAGTGTTTTTCATGGTGACTGTCTGGTGGTCCACCATAAAGTTCAAATATATTTAAAAAGTCGTTACTATGGTGATGTTTTTCTTACAGATTCCAGCTAACCTTAGTTTTCCTGAAACGACAGAGAAGAAGGCTTCGTGGGAGCTGAAGAAACCAAATGCTGCTGTGTATGCCATCCAGGGTCGACGCCCACACATGGAAGACAGGTTCAACATTGTCAGTCGTCTAGAGCACACAGGCACATCCATCTATGGTGTGTTTGATGGACATGGAGGGGATGTAAGTAGATCAGGAAGTGGAACCAGTATTAGTTTAAACATATTTATTGCCAAAATTAGACAAGGGATTAGGCACAAGTTATAACAACTTATCAACGCCTTCTCCCAGTATACATTTTAAATGACATTACAATAATGACAATAAATATATATACAATTGTTGTTACAATTTGGACTCAAAATCTCTTGCTGTATTTAAAGGGGCATCACGCTGAAGTAACTTTTTTTTGTGTCTTTTTTCCAAATACTACATAAACATATCAAGTGAGACTCCTTATGGAAAATGCCGATCGGATTTGGCTGAAATAGATTCATAAAAATGATTAAATCTAAGATAATCATCGGTATTTCTACCTGTCTGACCAACGTTTTGTTCAGGGATTTCCCTCTACTAGCGCATGCGCATAGCACACCATTTCTTTGTAAACAAAATGACTGGCCGTGTGAAGTAAGCCAAAGAAAAGTGTTGTACCGTGTCAGCTACGAAGCGAATAGTTGCCAAATGGTCAAAAGATAGCGCAAGGGGTACGTTACGGAATCATTATTGCCAGTGGGAAGTATTCAAAGCAGAAAATAACTGCCCTAGCAGTCAGTACGGTGCATGTTTTCTTCCGGATAGCGGCCGGTTAAGCTGAAATAAAATCGACAGAAATGCTAGCGCTGTTTATGTTATGAATAAATATCTAAAACTATTAACCTCGCTAGTATCATTGTGTGAGTTTGAACACAGATGAACTTAGTTTAATATGTTAATGGGCATGTATCGGAGAGAGTTTACTTTGTGTTTTTTATAATTATACAGTGGTTTATGCAAACGAAAGGGATAAGTGACTGGTTAGTTTGATTTTGCCATGAGGCCCCCCAAGGGATAACTGCTGTGATGGCCACGGCGTATTCTGTTCTCTGATCCTCTGTCGGTGCTCGGGGTCAAATGAGATACGTGCGCTATTAGATTTACATAATTTATAATATTACCGGGATCAGTAAAATGGTATGATTTAATTATATTGCTGAATTAAACGATTGTTTTTTGTTTTGACATGCAAGTTTTAAATTAGTACTAATATAATACCCGGCCTGCCCTGGCGCGACGACGCAATATATAAAAAAAAAATCGCTCTTCGTCAGAAAGCTACGTTATCGCAGCTAGATTAAAAATGTCAAAATGACGGACCAGGATGAATAACTGAGGAAGGAGAACCTACTTCTAGTAAATAGGATCGCATAACACTTTTTTTTTAAATCGTAATTTTTCAACAGTTCATGTTTTCATATGATGTTGACTTAGAATGTATGATCATGTAACAACCTTTTCTCTATAAAGAATAAATTTTCGACTTCAGATAGAATCGGAATACGTATTGAAAACAGGGGAAAAAATATTTGATTACGTTATAAAAATGGCGCGTGCTGCCGATAACTACGGCTTCTGTTTCGGACCAAAGGAACTGATTAAAGAAAAGTTGTCTCAGCATAAAAAGGTCCATTTAAAAGTATGCTTTAATCTCTGTAAAGTATTGAAAAAATATAATTATCAAGTATCTCAACACGTTCCTTATTGACACATATTCTACATGTACACGTAGTGGTTTTGCCATACAGTTTATTGTGTGTGATGGTTAATATGACTTCCTAAATGTTAGCGTTTGGAGACAGTGAAAGTGGGAAAGAGAGTATACATAGATTTATATTCATGGTCTAGAAAAAAAATGGCCAAAGACATTGAGTTGTTTAATGTAATAAATAAATTCACAAACGTTTCCTTTTTATATTCGCGTGTAGTTTGTCATTGCATATATGCACTTTATGTAAACATTTGAAAAGGGATATTCGTCTCGTGAATATTCCTTTTTACAGAAAGGTTTGTCCCATTGTTGAGGGAGTGTTTAGCCCCGTACCACCTGTACCGGTCACGGGAGAAGGCTGTGATAAATTGTAAAAACTTGTGCCCCATCCTTTGTTTAATTTTATTGGCAACAAATTTATGTTAAAAGCTAAATAAATTTAAATTCTTAATATTGGCAAGTGTGCAATTAACTTCTGATGATGAATAATTACTGTTCAATAAGTTTGAATACGGAATTAGAAATCATATAACTTGGTTTCATAGTGCGGTAAGAAGTTGCAGTTGCCTGACGGCCCCTCTCTGAGGGCCCCTTTGTAAACCGTTTCATCTCGCTCGCACCACTTGTGTTTGCTGCCTAATCAGGTGACGTTATCGGCGCTATTTTTAGCCGGGCTTTCCCGAACAATTCAAGTGGTCAAACTGGACATTTGGAACGGACTATGAATATGGGGATAGCGAGGTAACATAAGTGGAAGTGCATACAATACATACATTCATTAAAAAAAAAACGCCTTTTCACGTGATGTCCCTTTAATAAAGTTTTGCACAGATCTAAAAATGTTTGAGTTAAGGTCCTCGGAAAATTACCATGTCATTATCATGATGGTAGATAATAAGATTATGGCGATCAATTACAGGTTGTTCTATGTTTAATTGATTAAAACCAAACTTAATTTTCCATTTTTTATACACTGACAAAAAAGCATAGTGTCTTATGTTATAACATAAGTAAATATAGCATCTTTTAGTTCCAAGTGAAATTGGTTTTCTGTTTCATCAATATATTATGAACATACAATGTTCCACCTTATGTCATTGTGCACTTGGTGCTCCTGTTTTATACTATCCTAAAGAAGAAACAAGGTAAAAATTATTAAAATAAAGCAAAAAAGGTAAAGGCATGATACACAGCTTTTATAACCTAGCTTGACTGACAAACCCCCATATTGGCTCGGAGTTAGGATCAATGTACAAATGAAAGAATCAAAATAGAGTCATTTCAAATAGAAGTGAGTGTGAAACGAAAAAGCTTCACTCTGTTTCTCAACATTTAACATCATTAGGTTATGGTGTTAATTACAGAATCTGACATTACAGCTTCAATGGTCACATTCTGATTATCTAGCCAACAAGGGTGTGATGTCTTCAAAAGCTAGGTACATGTATCGATAAACAGGTTTATCAATAGATATCAAGTTAGCATCTGGGTATTGAATGAAAGTATTTATCACCAAAAAGATACTGCTGATGTTGTGTTTAAAGATCATACACCAAATCAAAATCCTGAGGAGTAAAAATACCTTTAAACAGTTACAAAACTCGCCTTGATTAATCATAGGTATATGATGTGTGTGTAAATTGAACCATACATGTTTATTTTACAAGTTTGCGGCTGACTTTGCAGAGAAGACCTTATTTAAAAGTATCATGATCCGGCTGCTGAAGGCTTCCCTTGAAGAGCAGACAGAGAATTTAACATCGATGCTCACACAGGAGATGCTAAACGTTGACTACCAGCTTTTGAATATTGCCCGTTCAAACATGGATATCTCAGGTAAATACCTATCTCAATGCTATATATTTTACTCAGTTTCTAGTACAACTTTTGCAACGTCTACCTAGAATCATTTAAATAAGAATTAAACTTCTTGGTCAATTGTACAGTAAAACCTTAACGATTGATGCCCAACTCCATGGCCACTGGGCTAGGTTACTAAGTCTTGATAACAAATCTCACTGGTCAAGGGACCTAAGACTCAGAGTTCAATATTGGTAACATTGGTTGTACAGTTCTTTATGGATGATGCTAAAGGGTACATTACATGTTGTGCCACAGAGATTAAAATCTGTTTAAATGTTACAGGTTCTACAGCGTTGGTAGCCCTCGTCAAGGACGGTAAACTGACTGTGGCGAACATAGGGGATTCCCGCGGTGTTCTGTGTGACAAAGATGGCAGGAGCATCCCCCTGTCCTACGACCATAAACCTCACTCGGTAGGTATCCTCTAGATTTCAAGTGTTACTCTCTTTCTTATTTTCTGTCAAAGTTTTCATTTTCTGAAGGATATGTGATACCTTAGTCAGTATTTGTAGGATTTTGTTCATGTTAGCATTTTCATTTTATGTGATCAATCTAATGCACATACAAATTCTAAATATTTGATTTCCTGTAATTAAAAGACAATTTTTGTACCTGTATAATTTTGGTGTGAACTTTATTTCATGATATTTCTAAACAATTTCTTCAGATTGGTAAGTATGGGTTATGAAAAGTTATTTTTTACAAACCAATATTATCATAATTAATTTCACAATATTTCACACAAAGTCAGTTTTCAAAGCAAAATTTATTGAATTATACAGGTAATACATAATTTATAAATTTAAATCTAACATCGACAACTTTCATTAACTGTACAATTCTCTATTTTTTCCCACTTCTGCCCATCTATTTCTTATGTAGGTCTCAATGCAACCGAACGGTTCTGTTTGCAGCATTTTAATCATTTTGCATCATAACATGTTTGAAATATTTAATTTCAGGTAAAGGAGAAGAAGAGGATAAAGGAGGCGGGAGGTTTTGTGAGTTTTAACGGTGTATGGAGATTGGCCGGTGTCTTGGCTACATCCCGGGCACTTGGAGACTACCCTCTCAAAGACAAGAACATTCTCATTGCCGAGCCAGACATCCTAAGCTTTGATTGCAGGGAAATACAACCCCAGTTTATCATCCTAGCAACAGATGGCTTGTGGGATGTGTTTGGTAACCAGGAAGCGGTGGATTACATCAAAGAGAGGCTACATGAACCTCACTTTGGTGCTAAAAGTTTAGTGCTACAAGCCTACTATCGTGGGTCACTAGACAATATATCTGTGATGGTTGTTAAGTTTGGAACAAACTCAGATTTGTTATGATAATAGTAGTCCAAAATATATATATATATATATAAAAAACAAGAAAAAAATCATGATTTCAAGTATATGTTCAAGCAAGGGATCCCGGAGATCATGATCTGATTTGTCAAATTGAACTATGTACAATGTTTGATTTTGAAAAGTTCAGAATCAAATTTTGTTCCAAAGAGTGCTGAGATATAATACTTTAAGGCAAGATAAGATAGGTGTATATGCAAAATGTAATTTTTGATAGGAAGAGGATAAATTAAAATGATTGTCCATCTATCAGTGTTTTACAAGTTTAATTCAAATAAACTCTTCACTTCATAGTAGCTGACAATATAGCATCAGGGAACTGTGATCTGATGGCCTTTGATTCAGCGTAACCGGAAGGTATACCGGTACTTCATCATATTTGTGTGGCTATTTATTTTTTGCAACCAACCAAAACAGACATTTTATATAGCAAGTTCTACAATGTTATTGGTGTTTTTTTCTGTTAAAACTTGTTGAGCAATATTTGATTTGTGTGTTTTGTGAGCATGTTGCCAGTTTGTGGAAATTATTCTGAACTTTCCTACCAAAATTATGTACCAGTGATATCAAGATTTTTTCCTGGGCACAAACAATGGTGATTGAATGGTTGAGTGATTTCTAAAACAAAGTTCATTTTTTGTAAGTGCTGATTTGATGTGGAATTAGGTAACTAGAACATTCACTATAGAACAGACCTTTGTTGACATCGTGGATTGATTTTTTTGCCACAAATATTGTTTATGCTTGTTAATGATATTTTACTTATTTATGTGTATTAAACAAATGTCTGCCACTTTGTGAGCATTTCATACAACAACTGTAACACAACTTCACATTGACTACAGGCAATTTTTTATTATTCATATTTGTTGACCGTCTTGAATATTAAACAGAAGTTGATTGTTAAAATCTGTTTAGCGCTAAAAGTTACATCTTAACGAGTTAATGAAGACCTAATGATGTTGTCTGGTGTCAGCTATGCTTGTCATGATCTTTGAAGGATGATGTCAGTTCCTGTATTTACAACAATTCATTCAGTGCTATGTATAAAACTGACTAGATAATCTTAATCTGAACACTTGATATATCAAATAAACTACATATATTTTTTTACAGTCTAATTGGTACTTATTTCAGTGGGGGTCAGACTTTTCTTGATTTTGTCCATATACATGTATTATATTTGAACCAAAACACTCACTTTTAGTACATGAACTTTATAAAAAGCAAAAAAAAGTAAATTCATTACTCCCCCCCCCCCCCCCCCCCCCA